AGATTTGATTGTGAAATACAACATTCAGTCAGTAACAAAGACAAAAGGAGTGCAAATATAAATAGAATTTATTGAAATTTTAAACAAGTTATAGATGAATATCAAAAACTCAACATTAGCCTTGACAGCCTGGGCTATGTTCAGGCCTAACATTATTTTTTTTTTAGGTCAAATTCAAAAGCAGTGACACTGCCAACTGTAAGCAGTTCACTGCGTTTGGATGTGGTCTTTAAGACAATTAACTAATTTACTTAAAAACATATAATTTCTAACTGTAAACACACATTTCCTGGCCTTATCAGTCTTTGCTGGATTACCACCAGCCTCCCACCTGCACCTTTGGGTCAATGAAGAAAATACTATCTTAATGCCAGGATACTGGAGGTGAAGCTGGTGCAGGTCCTCCTTCATCATGCTGACCAGCTTCTTGACACTGCTGACCTTCCCCATGTCATTGCCGCCACAGTGGATGAAGAGGACATCTGGTGCTGCTCTTCCTCACAGGGAGTGGGAAAAGAAGGAGAAAAGGCCTCTCCACTGCAGTCCACCCCAGCCAAACCAGCAGACACGGACGCCCGGCATACTGAGGGTGCTTCCCAAGGTCTCTGCAGCTCTCTGGACACCACGCCGGACATAGCTGTCACCAGTGCTCCACACTGTGCATATGAAAGTAAAATGAGTGTAATAAAAAATTAGCGTTATATATTTAAAAAAAAAAGTTGAAGCCTTTTTTTTTAAGATAACAGCTGAATCATTGTTTCAAGGTTTGTTGTATAACGTTAGTTTCAGCTAAACTCAACTTACCTCAAGTTTCGTGAGGGAGCTGGCAGGGCTAGCCAAAGTAGCGTAGCTTCTTAGCCTAGCTTGTTAGCCTTAGCTAACTTAGCAGCGCCGAGCGAGGTGGGCGTGTTTAAGCAACCAGGCTTCCTTCGGCCCGCCTCTTTGCCCATTTTTGATTGTCCGGGAGCTGGGCGGAGTCAGGCACTGCCAAGATGGCGACGTCCAGAGCGGAGTATTTTGAGCTTCAAATCCACTCTTCTGAAACGGATGGATGACGTCACAGCGACTACGTCCATTATTTTATACAGTTTATGATCCAGGAATGATCCTTGCCACAGATGAAACCGACGTTCAAGTCAAATGTATGCACCATGCCAGAATAGCTAAAAACAGGTTCTTTTGGCCTCTACAAGAGGATTTACTGTAGTATCCATTTGATGATGTGTTTGAGCTCATCCCGCCTCCTCATCCCGTGACAGGACATGATTCACGTCACATGCAAATTCAGAAAGAGATCTGGGACAGACTGTCTGACTAAAGGATGAAGAGAACCATAAATAGCAAGAACAACAGATCAGGTAAGAAAAGAGACCATCCACCTTCACGCCACTGGAAATGAAGATTGAGCATTAAGATGTAACCATAAACTGGGGGGGGTAAATTCCCAGATTTTAGAGCAGACAGCAATGTACTTTTTTTTTTACTGCTGATACTGCAGATTTTATGTTACCTGATGTTAATGTTGTTAATGAAATAATTTTACCTGATGTTAATGATGTTAATGAAATAGTTTTACCTGGTGTTAATGAAATAGTTTTACCTGATGTTAATGAAATAGTTTTACCTGATGTTAATGATGTTAATGAAATAGTTTTACCTGGTGTTAATGGAATAGTTTTACCTGCTGTTAATGGAATAGTTTTACCTGATGTTAATGTTTTGAATGAAATAGTTTTACCTGATATGTTTCTTTCTTCTTGTTTGTTTTAATGAATTAATCAAAGTCAATTTCAATTTGATTAAATGTTGTGTCATTCATTCAGCCCTGTTACAGTGCATTCAACCCTGTTACAGTGCATTCAACCCTGTTACAGTGTGTTCAACCCTGTTACTTGATACATTTTCATACATTTTTTGATAATAATGACAAATATTAGATAAGTGTTTGTTGGACTGTATGCAGAGTTTAGAAGACAAGTAGAAAATATATGAAAGCCTAATCTAATGTTTATGTTCAAGTATATTTTCATGATTTATGAAGACCGCTTATACATTAAGTTGCCATATCCTACTTGACAGTCAAATTATTATTATTTAGAATCAAATAAAATATACTTATAATAAGTTATTTTACACAAGGGACAGGTGACAAGACACTGCAAGAATTAGTTTGAATATGTTTTAGAATTATATTCACACAGGAATCAAATTGTCCCGTTACGGGGTTGAATTTAAAACAATCTAACTGACAAAGAAATTCCTAATAATGTTTGGGATTTCATGCCTAAGGTGGGAAAACATATTTTCTCAGAGGTTCAAATATTCCTTCATCAGATGCAATGTTCAGAAACACAATTATTTGTGGTATTTTTTTCATTAACCAGAGAACCCAATGTGCACCGAATTCAGAGAATCACCCAAATGGCAGGAGCTACATTTGAAGCGCCACACGTAAACTGTCAAGCTACTGTATCTTCCACAGGAAGTTCTGACAAATGTTTCAGAATAAAAGCCTATTTAGAAAATGGAGTGATTCTCTCAGCCGAGGTTATAAGGGGCTTTTAATTTGAAACAAATGTTTAGTTTGAAATGACGGTGCGATGTGTTAACTTTATAAAGACAACGGAGCGGATAAAAAGTAAATATATAAACACACAGAGGGATTAATAAATAACGGACCGTCTATAATGTAGTCTGTTTCAAATGAAGCTGGGAGCCTCTGCAGTTGTGGTGAGTAAAAGCCCCGCCGCTATTTGTTAATGTTATTACTTTATGTCCGACCGTGAGGATGTACCATTGTTTGCTAGCTTGATGCTAATGACAGTAACGTTAACTCAGCGGGTTGACAAAGTGCCTCTGCTGTTTCACACCATCATTTCCCCCTTTTACTCTGTGTGGTAACATCCCTTAGAGGAAATATTAAACATGCTGGGGTGTTGTTGTCATACAGTTGTCTATGGCAGCAGATCGTTGTGTGTTTCTACTGGTCAAAGTGACGGCTGTGATGGGAGAATTGGATCTCAGTGAAGGGCAAGTGGTCCATAACTTTAATTTTGGAGACAAAAAATGTAGGCTTAGCGCCCTGTGGTCCATTGCCCAATAGGAAATGTAGAATACTCAAAAGTACTTTAAAAGTGCTTGAGTTACTTTTCTCAGGGAGTAACGTTGGAAGTACTTTTAAAGTAATTGAGTTACTTTACTCAGGGAGTAACGCAGTAAAGTAACTGGTTACTTTTTTAGAGAGTAACGCAGTAACGTACTTTGATTACTTTTAAAGTAACCCTTACCCAACACTGGTGTTCAGTATGGAACTGGCCTGACTGTCCAAAGTTCAGAAATACTGTGACCAATATGGCCATCACGTTTTATTGGAAATTCTTTTTTCTTTTGCTTTTTAAAACACTCACAGCCCTAGTGACCAAAACCTGTAGAGCACACTATCCTAAAAGTTCTTAATTTTATTAATTAATTTTTAATTTTTTGTAAGTGGAAGTGTATGAGGGATACAGACTGAGGCCTATCTGTGCCATTCAGCCAATATTTGTATTTACACCATTATAAAAATTGGACTAGGACTAATGTGAATGTCACAGGACAACATTGTTTTTATCTTTCAGGAGACAAGGTTATCCCTCTATTCATCGGCCAGTGTAGAGAATGTCGCTTCTGTAAGAGTTCAAAGACCAACCAGTGTGACAAAGGATGGTGAGCTATCCTCCCTACCACTCCATTTTCTCTTAATTTTCAATTTTTATTTTCATTCCTGCTTGGGTATGTTGATGCATTCATAGACAGAAACATTTCATTCAACACATGTAGTAACATTAGGTGCTGCCGGACATATAGTTTAGATCTTTCCTTGTTTTTATTTTTATTTATTTATTTTTTTTTTTATCAGTTGTAAGTATTTGGTGAACACTCTAATATGAAAAGAGCAGTACTCAAAATTTGTTTCAGATTATTTACATCAAAAGATTATCTTTTCAGGTTGCCTCCCCCAGACAGGTTTACCTGTAAGGGGAAGAAGTTGCTGCAGTTTGTGGGGACCAGTACCTTCTCTGAGTACACTGTGGTTAACCAGATGGCTGTGGCTAAGATTGACCCCACTGCTCCACTAGATAAAGTCTGTCTCATCGGCTGTGGGATCTGCACAGGATATGGAGCAGCGGTTAATACTGCTAAGGTGTGTATGTTTGACTGTTGCAGATTGCTTACAACATTACTTTAGATTGAAACAACAGAATGAGAAATTCTGTGTTAAGGGCCTATTTTTATGACATTAAAAATTTTTGTATTAGAATTCCTGCTCACATTGGAAAGCATCTGAAAGATTAAGCACTCACCATGGGACTTAAAACCTTTTCATTATTTCTTTTTGGAGCCTTAACAGGTCTCACCTGAAGAGCCATGTTGACCAAAGTGTTTTACTTTAGGTGGAACCGGGCTCAACATGTGCTGTGTTCGGCCTGGGAGCTGTGGGTTTGGCTGCAGTCATGGGCTGCAAGGCTGCAGGAGCTAAGAGGATCATCGCTGTTGACATCAATCCAGAGAAGTATGAGAAGGCCAAGGTGTTTGGTGCAACTGACTTTGTGAACCCCAAGGATCATAGTAAACCCATCAGTGAAGTGCTGTCTGAGATGACTGATGGAGGAGTGGACTACTCTCTGGAATGTGTTGGGAATGTGGAAGTCATGGTAGGGATTCTAGATTTTACATGGTTCAAGAATACATTAAGAGATGTTAATTAACTATTAAAATAATAACCTTTATTCTGAACAAAGACAAGTGAAGTTCCAGTGGCAGGTACTGGAGAAGAGCTTTGTGTCATTCATTAAGTTACTTGGCAGCTTCTCCTCAGCTAGTCCAGAGATTTGGGCCAGCACTCTGACTTTGTGCTGTTTCTCCATCTAGCGCAGTGCCTTGGAGTCTTGTGTGAAAGGTTGGGGTGTCAGCGTCATTGTTGGCTGGACAGAATTAGAAGACTTTTCTGCCCAACCCGTTCAGCTCATTGCTGGACGCACATGGAAGGGCTCTGTGTTTGGAGGTGAGACAAATATGACCATCACCACTGACTTATTAATCTCTGGTAACTAAATGGCTGTGGGGTTATGTTCCACAATTACAGACTTCCACAGAATTCCACACTAGCTAGCTGTATTTGACTTTATGTTCTTATTATATTCTTCTTATTTCGTGGCTTAGGCTTTAAGGGTCGGGTTGCCGTGCCTCAGATGGTTAAAGACTACCTGGACAAGAAGGTGATGGTAGATGAGTTCATCACTCACAACATGACTTTGGACCAGATCAATGATGCCATTGAACTGATGAAACATGGCAAATGGTATGTTTATACGACTATACTTTTCTACCATTCAGTGACAGCACAGATAAATGAATCTGCTCATTTCTCTTTTTACTTGTTCCACAGCATCCGGACAGTCCTGACGGTTTCTCCGCAATAAGACCACTGTGTTGTTTTCAGTGATCCCAAAGTAATCAAATAATTTACCACTTAGTCCATGATCTCAGGCCAGAACTTTCACCAAAAGGTACCACCCAAGGTAGCAAACTCTAGTTCTTCAAATTTGGCACAAAGGTCTACTTGAATTTTACAATGAACTGATTAGAGTTGGGTGGTCAAATATCAAGGTCACTTCTACCTTGTCTGTCTTATTATTGTGAACTCAACATCTCAAGAATGCCATAAAGGAATTTCCCTTAAATTTGGCAAAAACATCCACTTGGACTCCAGGATGCACTCATTAGATTTCGATGTTTGAAGGTCAAAGGTCAAAGTCACTGTGACCACACAAGACATGGTTTTAGTTATAAACTAGAATTATGTATGGCTTCTGTAGATCTTGATGGCTCAAACAATACTAAGAGTCATAGCCTCTCATGTCCCTGAGTTGCCTCAGATACTGACTTCTGTTTTCTGAAGTGAGATCGTATCTGGTGACTGCTCCAGTTGTCAGGCTAAAACCCTTTGTTCCTGCATCAGTCTGGGTGTCCCTGCTTACAGTCTCCTCAATTGTTTGGTCTAGTTTCTAATGAGATTGTTTGTGCTCAGCTGGACAGAAAAAACACCCTCAACAAAGTGTACATGAGCACCAGGCTGATCAACCTCCAGGCAGGACATTTGAGCATGGTAGTATGTGAGATCTCTGGTATAGTTAAGTTTTTCATAAGCAAAACCCCACAGACTGATGTCTCTCCTTACTGCAAGACGCTTTTATAAGGAAAAGAAGTATCATTGTGTTTTTGTTGCCTTATAATGAGCCCTTTGAAAGGAGCAGGTCCTCTTCCATGGAGCCCACCATGTTGCACCACCTCTAGCCCAGAGCGGATCAGCTCAAAGCCTGTTTATATTCTTTGTATGAATATAAATGTTATAGTCTATGTATGTGTACTTTTGTTTGATTCAAACTAAATTGCTGCACATATTGTACATAAGCTCTTACTATAGACTGTGAGCAAACCGCTTGTGCAGATACTGCAGGGCAATAATTGCAAAAACCATTATTGTCCCCCAAAAATTAGTAAAGCCACTAATTTGAAATGGCTGTCAAGTTTCAAAGTTGTATATGGACCCAACAAATAAACTAGTTGCAAAGAGATTTTACCACCTCAGATGGTGCCAAAAATTTGACCTGGCCCATGACCTAACAGTAGTATACAAATACTCAAATTATGCCCACTATGAATACCTGACCTTAAACACTCAACACAAAATCAAGTCAAATCCAATCAAGTTGATTTATATAGCACATTTAAAAACAACAGCAATTGACCAAAGTGCTGTACAAAATAAAAGAAGTACGCGCAAATAAATAGCAATATAAAATGTACACAAAGATAAAACAGAATAAAACTGGTGAGAACAATTACGTACGTAAAAAAAATTCTAAAATACTAAGATATTAAAACCACTACAAACAACCAAAAGCCAAAAGAGGCTATACTAAAGCTTTGCAGCAGCTACCGCAAAGGCACGATCTCCCTTACCCACCAGCCTCAATCATGGGACAGTAAAAGACATTGTTTGGGGGATCTAAGAATTCTGGAGTTGGAGTAGGGGCAGAGAAGTTCAGCTATATACTGGGGTGCCAGCCCATGTATGGCTTTAAAAACAAATAAAAGAACCTTAAAATCAATCCTGTATTTGATAGGTAGCCAGTGTAGCGGATTATGTGTAGATTGTGAGAATCATCTGCAGTGTTTAGTAAGGAAAAGCTAAACATGTCAGGTATATATATGTCACAATAAATGGTCTTAACAAATGGGGTCTGTGGCTTTCTTCTTTGTGTATGTCACTGGAATGGCATGTTAGTGTGAAAACTCATGTTGCAAAATCCTGTATTGCATTGTGTTCATTGTTCTTCTTAGCTAGTCTTAGGTCACATTCACACAGACCAGTTAAGTTATATCAATGTTTGCTTAACATGCCAGGCAGCTTTAAAATTATCATTCCAATATAAGTCCAACTGTGAAATTGCATTTTTTTGGTCTACTACAGCATACATATCTGCTCTGTAAATTACTTGTCCTGTGTTCTCCTTAGAGGGAAAAAGGGCAGGCCATTAAACAAACAGGAAGATCTTAAAATCAATTTAGCAGTGAACTGGAAGCCACTGCAGGACAGCCAGGATGAAGCTGATGTGCGATCTTCCTGGTTCCAGTGAGTAGCTTAGCAGCAGCATTCTGGACGAGTCATACCGACTAATATCGAAGTATATGGACTTGCGGTAGCTGATCTGTGAGGATATGAAGACAGGGATGACTATCTCCTGGGTGGGAGAGGGCAGTTATTAGTGTGGCTATGGATCAAAGCTAAAAACAACAACAAAAAAACAACTGCATTTAGCTGTTAATCAAATTTTAGGACAGCACTAAAGATGAAACCAAGGTTAGTAGCATGGGGATGAGACAGTTGGACTAGGTCATTTTAATAAAGTCTGGGGGGAGGGGCACAGAGCACAACCTCAGATCTGTTTACATATAGCTGTAGGAAATTAAGGGCCATCCAGCTTAAGATGTTCTGAAGGGAGTCTCAGAGGAAATTTAGGTCCAATGGGCAGTTGGGTTTCAGGTGTAGGTAAAGCTGGGTATCATCAGCATAGCAGTGATAGGTAATGTAAAAGTCCTGTATGCTTCTACCCAGGGCAAGGAGGTAGATAGAAAAGAGAATAGGGCTGAGGATGGATCCGTGCAGGACTCCATAGGAGAAACTGGCGGGAGGGGAGAAGAAAGGGTTTATGCTAACTGAAAACATTTTATTGGTGAGACAGGAGGAGAAGCAAGCCAATCCAAGAAGTCCTGGCAGAGATGACAGATGCAGGTGTGGACTATTTCTTAAAACATGTGGGCAATGTGGCAATCGTGAGATTCTTAGAAGATGAAGATTCCATAATGTTATCCCATACTGATCATTAGCTCCTACGCCTACAGCAGTTCTGTGTGTACTGAATGAACCATGTGAATCATGACCCAAGTGTGCATGGTTTCATTGAACAAAATTGCTCATGTTACAGATTACATGACAAAGTTTTAAATTTACAAACAAGATAAACTGAGCATAGAGGTAGGGGTGAGGTTGTGGTGCTGTTTGGATCAGGTTGATGGGATACTGTCCTGTCTTGGTGTTAGAGGTCAGACCTGGAAACCTGCAATAAAAACTGAGGCACTAACGTGATCACTGGGGTGGAGGCTGGTAGTTAAGCTATCTGGTATCTTAGACATCAGGATTTGTTTGTTTAGAGATGTTAATGTATATCAGTTTAATTCAAGTTTGTATAAAACCTTTTAGGAACACCTTGAGGAAATTTCTTGGAATTTGGTACAAACATCCATCTGGCCTCAGTGATGAACTGATTAGATTTTAGAGGTCAAAGGTCAAAGTCACTGTGACTTGGTCTGTCTCAATGTTGTGAACAAAATATCTCAAGAATGGCTTTAGGGACTTTATTTAAATTGGGCACTAAAGCCCAGTTGGAGTCAATGACTGACTGATTAGATTTTGGTGGTCAAAGGTCAAGGTCATTGTGACCTGTCCTCCATCTCACTCTCATGAACGTGATATCTCAAGAAGGCATTTAGACAAATTCTTCAAATTTGGCACAAACGGCCACATGGAGTCAATGATGAACTGAAGAGATTTTGCTGAACAAAGGTCAAGGTCACTGTGACCTCAATAACATGTTTTTGGCCATAACCCAATAAATCATACACTAATTTTGACAACATTTCACACAAATGTCCAATAGAATAAGATGATGAAGTGATGAAAATGTATACCCAAAAAGTCAAAGGTCGACCTCTCTGTGACATTCTGCAAAAACACTTTTCTGGCCAGGTGCTAAGTAGAGACATTTGGTTAGAAACTGAATTGGTGTCAATAATCTTGGATACCCACCTTGAAACTGAATTTCTATAGATCTTTTGTCCTGTGGGGTTGAAGAATTGTGTGAAGCATGAATATTTTAGAATCTGTAGCTTCTTTGCAGCACCATCCATATTTAAAACATTGTCAATTGTCATGGCTACGAATGTGTCTGGACAGTCATGGATGTAAACTAACTGTAACTTGACTGGTTCACGGAGGAATGCAACTACGAGGTGGTAATTCTAGTTATTTTCAAATGTGCTAATAAAGTGATGTGTGACAGATGCATTTAGAATGTTGTCCATACCATATAACATACAGTACAGAGACACTGTAATTTTGTGAAGCCACCTGATACAGTGCACATCTTCTCTCCACTGACTAGATGAACTCAATAACACTCTTCCCAAGATAGGCGGGAACAGTGTTCCCAAGCTGGTAGAGGAATACATGAACAGGAAGCTGAGAGTGGATGACTTTGTGACTCACTCTCCACCCTTTTAGAAATCTCATGAATATCTTGTGTTCCTCTGGGTTTAGGGGCGTTTTAGTCATTCTGGGGCCTCAGGCAAACACAGGCTATCCCCCTTTTTAGTCCATATCTATCTGGAAAGGCCTAATTGTAACTTCTACTCTTTACCAGTCTTTGCACAGTGATGTCTAGAAATCTGGAATTCCATTTGTAACAAAAACATATTTAGTGCAGTGCATGGCTGCCCTCTGTTGAGGACAAGGCTGGGAAATTATAAGAGAAATAGGATTTAAATGACTTGCCCTGAGGACTATTTTTCAAGTATAAGACAAGACAAGTTGTGTCAGACATGTAAGACATGTTAGAGTAGAAAAATCATCAAATAAATTAAATCTTATTTTCTCATGTCCACTGGTTTTGACAGCTGCCAGTTTATTCCACACAGGCCCCACGTGTATTGCCCAGATTTGGGCAGAACGTCAAGGAACTGATAACATGGCTGCAAGGGCTTATAAACAATTGTTTTCCCCATAGTTTCTGCTAACCCATGGTAGTCTCACACTTAAGTTGAAACAATTTACAGTCCCTGCCCATCTGAATGTGTGCCAAACTTCACTGACACCCTATAAAACCTTGTTGCCTCTTGTCTCCTTCCCACTCCTGTCCTGTAGCTGCTCTCTTGACTTTCACAGCTCCTCTCTGGCTTTATTTTAATCTTTGCAGCAAAAATGGCCACAGCTGGTAAGGTAAGTATAATTTAACATGTAAGTACTTATATTTATGTGGTGTTTTTATTTGGATTTTTTTATTTTTATTTTTTCCAATGTGTGCATGAATATTGCTTATGTCACATGCTGTGTATTTATGTGTAATGGAACAAAACATCAAAAAGCTATGTGACAATATTATATTGATATATTTTACATGAGTATTATTCATTCGAGATTTGTCTGTGCTCCTGTGTTGTGTGCAATTCATGTTTGTGTATATGAGGCTGGGTCCTTGACTGGAGGGTGAATGGTGTAATACAAAGCTGATACCCAAAATGAGTGTTTCAGTGCTCTGCTGTGCTGTATTGCATTTTGTACCTGGTTACAGCTCTGCAGCCACATGAATTATTTCACGTCAGTGAAGTTCAAAATTTTTATTTTACTGCAACTGCAAACCATAGGGCCGTTTCCCTCAAAATACCCCGTCCTTCTGTCTCTAACTTTGTGTCTGTGTCTCTGCCACAGTAAATATCTCATATCCTGTTCTGACTTGGCACACAGTCTGAAACTGTCCAGTCAGTTTTTTTAGTGTTTACATTGGCAAAGCTGCAGGGATAGTCAGCCACAAGAAAAAAAAATGATTGAGGAGGAGTTCATCCTCCCAAAGAGTGCTTATGAATTCAAGGCAAACCGCTAGTTTTATAAAAACTGAGACAATTGATTTATTCAGTAGTTTACTTGTTAACCCTACATTATACAATATATAACCATTAACTATAGTTAACCTTGAGAAAACTCAAATTATCAAGGCAACATGATGCAATAGATTTTTGAGTTTTCTCAACTTTTGACTACTGTTGTTGACTTTACTTAGGTTTACAAGTTTAGGAAAGAGTTCTGCCAACTTGGATTTTCTTGTTCACCTAATTAAGATATTCCTGTCAGGCTAACAATGAAATTCTTGCTTCAATGCCATGCATTTCCACGTTCAATAGACACAGATTTCCTTGTTGTATAAAAATACAATTCTGAGTCTAAAACTCATTTAAATTGTCACATCATTAATGCTTTGGAGGTTGTCATTTTCCCTAAGCTCTTCCAAAAAACTGCTGTGTTGATCAACACCCCTCAATTGGAAATCATTTACTTCAGTGGCTGCAATTTGGTTCCGACTTATCAAACAAAACCGACAGAACTTGTCAACAGTAAAACTTTCAGAAAAGCCTGCAAGACCATGTGCTGCAAGGTTATCTGCACACACACAAAATGTAGTACCCTTAACAAATTGACCTAGAACTTCAACAAAAATTCCCTCTTCTTCTAGACACCTTATGTCTTTTATTAGTGGCTCAAGAAACTTTTCATAACCACATTGCTTGACATCCACACTTTTACCCAATAGAGTAAGCTGAATTGAAGTTAGACTTGATCGGAACCTGGCTGGTAAATTTAGAACAACCCAATATACTGCAGTTATTTTATGAAGTTTTCTAGAGGTGCCCAGGGGGTTACAAACTTCAAAATCATCAATATACAATGCCAAACTGATACATGTGTTTTGCTGTCCTAGGACCTTGTTGTCCTTGTAATACCTGCCATCTTGAAAAGACTTAAAGTGTCCAGATAAAGATTCTTGATCAAATACAATTTGGTCCAAAAAATCTGCCCGTTCTAGTAAATTCTCAAGTACCTTAGTGACAGATATATAAACAAAAGCATTTTTATGGGCTGTGTTATAAAGATATTCTGTGGGTTCGATAACAGAAAAGTGTTCCTTGAAATATAAGTGTCTTCGGTGATCTGTAGATAGGGAACCTTTCTCTGATGTTGTTAAAAGTAGTGGATTAGTTTGGACTATAGCATTAGAAATTTCTTGCAAAACAGAATCATTTGTTTCAATGTTATGTTTTGATAGGATATCTTTGACACTGTTGAGAGTCTGAATGCTAGAAAAAGACAACAGATCATGCAAATCCTCTACAATCGTTTGGGTTGCACCTCTAGAAACATGTAACACTGTTTGCATATAAAGAAAGAGAGAAGCCAATTTGTGCTTAAGTGTCTCACTATCTACATGTTCCACAATCTCTTCAACCTCATGTGGTCTCACACTATGCTGTGATGATGTCCCTGCTTCACAATCAGATTCTTCACCATTATTTGCCTCATATTCTGTATCAGCTCTTTCTATTGTTCGAAAATCCTTAAGTGTACAAGTTTTATGGTTTCGACTTCTGTGAGAACTGAAGGTTGAGCGAGTGTTTGTTTTAAAGGTACACCTTAGAAAGGGACATTGTACAGTTTCTCTGTTCTTTAAATGATGTCCAAGATGGTTCAAAAAAGTTTTTTCACTGCAAATCTCTTTAAAATCACACAATTCACATTGAAATGTTAAATTTTCGTGGATTTTCAAAGTTGTGTGTGATCTTGAGAGGTGTGACCTTAATGTGCCAGGTGTTTTAAATACACATACACAGTCTGTGTGAATACAAGGCCAGTATGCGCCTTTACCGTGACGAAGGCGACAATGTTTTAAAAGAGTCTCTTGACAGGAGCTGGCAAACTTGCAAAACTTGTACTGCATGCAATTCACCCCTGAAACACAAAAGACACATATAGGACATATTCAGTTTTGCTTAAATCATTTTTGCTGCAGATCCTGTAATAAATGACACAATACAGCTCTATTTCATCAACATCTGACATATCCCATTGAAGCCATAACTACTCTTTCCACACAGGGAAAGATGAAATGCAAAATGACCAAACTTAAAGGGATTCAAAGTGGGGTTGTACTTATCTATAGTCAGTGTATTACCTACAGTAGATGGCAGTTTGTAGAAGCAGCGGGAGTACTGGTTTAGTAAACTAACTAATGTACTGCTGTGGACAGGGTCAGCAGCAAAACATACTTTAAACACCACAAAAAAAAGGTAAAGTGGTGAAAATATTCTAAATATAACATACACTTACATACACTCTGTGCTGGTACTCCTCTCTACTTCTCCAAACTGGGTCCTGCTGACCACCATCTACTGTAGGTAATGCGCTGACTATGAATAAGTATCTCATACACTTCAAATAATCCAGATTTTAAAACCTGAAAATGTTGATGGGTCAGACATTTTCAGCAGTGAGCAACCAATTGAAAACAATAAAATACAAACAATAAAAAAAGACCTATCAATGCACAGAAGCATATTTAGTGGCATAAACTGTAACTAATAACACACTAGCTCTCTACCTGCATCTCCTTCTGCCCCCTCTTTTCTCCACACACATACACACATGCACACACCTCACCTCTCACCCCCTGACGTTTCCCTTATGGGTCAGATACACAAGATATAGTTTTAGTCTACAGCAGCAACAGTCATGTTTACAACAACAAAGTCACTACATAAACTCAGTAATATCTCACTGGAAACAAATCTAACATGTCAATAAAATAAATATTCCTCCTGACGTCACAATACTGAGTGAAGAAAGTCACATTATCTCAGCATGAAGACAAACATCAGTATCAGTCATTCATCCTGCTCTCTGTCCCTCCTCTACTGAGGACACTCACTGTCTGCAGGTCGGCTGCCTCAGGTACATGTTCAGATAAAGTGTTAGCCTACATACAGACAGCTTTCATTTTAGTTTGTCTTTAACACTTTGCTGTTAGCACCGAGAGCGTGATGTGCTTGTGTCGACCGCGATCATAAATCATATTAGCGGTGAATGAGAGACTGTGGACAGAGCACAGTTTGTGCGTGCGTCTGAATGTGTGTGCTGTGAGGAGGTCTGCCCTGACTTGCAGAGAGCGGGAGAGAGGCTGCTTCATGATGATACAAGAAAACTTAACTTTAAAATGTAACGTTAACGCCAATAACGGCAGAGCTTAGTATCACGGTCTTGATTAAATTTGCCTCGCGCTGTTCAATACCGGGTCTCGGTACCAATCCTGCCCGGGCCACTCAGAGGTTGCTTCTGTGCTGCATGTGGCCCGCGAGCCGCTAATAGAATAGGCGGGCTGTATTGAAAGCAGAGTTGCTGCACAACATATGCCCCCACACCCCCAAAAAATAGTTTTCGGCGCACATGTGGATCATTTCTCTCCCCTAACAAATCCTTTTAACAGTATTGTGTAACAGAATTATCTTTGGAGGTAATTGTGTGTAACGTTACAACGCCAACACCATACCAGCTTAGCTAACAAGGCAAAACTTTGGTAATTGAAGGACTTGAATCAAACTTTCAGTTGAAATACCACAGCACACGGTTACATTTCTTATCTAGTTGCAAAAAAAAACACACTTACCTGTGAAGACTTAATAGTTGCCAAATATTTCCAAGTCCGAAACTCCTGCTGCACTATGGCAAGCCGTTTTAACATTTAATCGCTAGACTGGATATTCATTACTGATATCTGCAACATAATTTTGCCTAGTCAAAACTCTTATTCAAGATATCTGTAATTAGATTTTGCCTAGTCAAAACTCTAATTACAGATATCTGTAATTTAGTTTTGACTAGTAAGATTCAAACTATTTTTGCCATTCATGTGTATGGGGTTTGTCATTATAGATATCTCCAATGTAGTTGCGGATATCTGCAGTTCTTATTGCGGATATCTGCAACTGAATTGTGGATATCTGTAATTCCAGTTTGAGATATCTACAATTTAATTTTGACATAATGTCATAATTCAAGTTCAAGATATCTTTAATTATCATCAATTGAAGATATCTACATGGTCCTTTCTAGATATCTTGAATTGAGTTTCAGATAGTCAGAATGACGTTGTAGATATCTTGAATTCGAATTATGACTAGTCAAAATGACGTTGTAGATATCTGTAACTGAATTATGACTAGTCAAAATGACGTTATAGATATCCGCAACTGAATTATGACTAGTCAAAATGACATTGTAGATATCTGTAACTGAATTATGACTAGTCAAAATGACATTGTAGATATCCACAACTGAATTATGACTAGTCAAAATGACATTGTAGATATCCACAACTGAATTATGACTAGTCAAAA